GAGCTTAAGATCCAGATCAGTTCGGTCAGGACTCGGATGCAAAGGAGGACTCGATCCACGAGGCTATAGAGCACAATCGCGGCATGACACATCGCAATGCAGCACGGCGCAGCACAGCACAGATTTCGGCACGGTACATCAAGATCGATACACTCAGCATTGCAACTTGGCACGTTCCTTGGCACGTTCCGTGGGGCGTCCCTTGGCGAGTCCCCCTGGCACGTCGCGTGGCGCGTCCCCTGGCACATCCCGTGGCACATCCATTGGCACGTTCCGTAGCGCGTCCCCTTGGCACGTCCCGCGGTGCGACCCCATGACACGTCCCCTGGCACGTCGCCTGGCGCATCCCTTGGGACGTTTCGCGGCGCGTCCTCCTGGCATGTCCCCCTGTCCATTAGCTCTGGGGCAGCTACTGTGTGTTCAGGCAGCTCGAGCTTAAGATCCAGATCAGTTCGGTCAGGACGCGGATGCAAAGGCGGACTCGATCCACGAGGCTATAGAGCACAATCGCGCCATGGCCCATCGCACGGCGCAGCACAGCACAGCCCTCGGCAGGGTACATCAAGATCGATACACTCAGCATTGCATGTGCCCGTCACCCAATCAGGTGTCTTTGAAAACGCTGCCATGTGTTACAGTTCTAGATTCCTTTCCGGGTTCGTGGGTCGATCATGTTTGAGGTTCTTCATCGGTCGCAACCGATGACCTCCGAACCTCAGGGCATCCATCTTCCCTCGAATCGTTGTCGACTATCTCCGCTCTCCGCCGAACAGATGAATGCAAAGCAGGCCATATTGGACCCCGCTGGAGCAATTCATTGGTCTTCAATCTCCTGCTGCGTCTGTTTCCCAAATTCTGATTCGTTTATGGTTTCCCAGGATCCTCAGTGGCGCCCTCCGGTTGCCTCCGGACCTCGGGGCCTCAATTTTCTGCGGCAGCCGGTGTCCAGCGACGGCGCTTGGTTAACCAAGTGTTCGCACGTGGCAATCCTGGCAACCTGGCATTTCCGAACGTGGGTACGGCAGATCCGTTTTCGTCTTTGGCTTGTGGTTTTTCCCGGAAAGGGCTCGAGCCCAGGGTTCTCTTTTAGAGGTTTACCCCCGGATCTGACGGCTGTAGGGCCGGCGAAATTATTCTGCGATAAATTACGTGCGGGAGTAGGGCCGGCGGAATTATTTTTGAGGATGTCTCGAGCGAAACGCTTCTTTTTCAGAATTTGTCGAGGATGTCTCGAGCGAAACGCTGGTTTTGCAGAGTTGGGGATGTCTCGAGCGAAACGCTTGCTTTCAGAATTTGTTGAGGATGTCTCGAGCGAAACGCTGGTTTTGCAGAGCCGACCGCGACGCGGAAAAGCGCCCCGCGCGCAGGAATTCCGAGGATGTCTCGCGCGTGCCGCGTCCCGCGCGCAGGAATTTCCAGAGTGTCTCGACCAATTCGTTTGTTTTTTTCCAGGATTTCTTTGAATTTTGGCAGGATGTCTCGAGCGATATGTTTGTTTTTCGTAATTTGTTGAGGATGTCTCGAGCGAAACGCTGGTTTTGCGAAATTGGGGGATGTCTCGAGCGGGGGCCTCGTGGGGGGCCATTATTCAGAGGACGTCTCAGGCGAAATGCTTGTTTTCACGTCCCGCTCGCAGGAATTCCGAGGATGTCTCGCGCGTGCCGCATCCCGCGCGCAGGAATTTCGAGGATGTCTTGACTAATTCTTTTGGCAGGATGCCTCGAACGAATGCACGTCCCCTGGCACGTCGCCTGGCGCATCCCTTGGGACGTTTCGCGGCGCGTCCTCCTGGCATGTCCCCCTGTCAATTAGCTCTGGGGCAGCTACTGTGTGTTCAGGCAGCTCGAGCTTAAGATCCAGATCAGTTCGGTCAGGACGCGGATGCAAAAGAGGACTCGATCCACGAGGCTATAGAGCACAATCGCGGCATGACACATCGCAATGCAGCACGGCGCAGCACAGCACAGATTTCGGCACGGTACATCAAGATCGATACACTCAGCATTGCAACTTTTCCTTGGCACGTTCCGTGGGGCGTCCCTTGGCGAGTCCCCCTGGCACGTCGTGGCGCGTCCCCTGGCACATCCCGTGGCACATCCATTGGCACGTTCCGCAGCGCGTCCCCTTGGCACGTCCCGCGGTGCGACCCCATGACACGTCCCCTGGCACGTCGCCTGGCGCATCCCTTGGGACGTTTCGCGGCGCGTCCTCCTGGCATGTCCCCCTGTCCATTAGCTCTGGGGCAGCTACTGTGTGTTCAGGCAGCTCGAGCTTAAGATCCAGATCAGTTCGGTCAGGACTCGGATGCAAAGGCGGACTCGATCCACGACGCTATAGAGCACAATCGCGCCATGGCCCATCGCAATTCAGCACGGCGCAGCACAGCACAGCCCTCGGCAGGGTACATCAAGATCGATACACTCAGCATTGCATTTGCCCGTCACCCAATCAAGTGTCTTTGAAAACGCTGCCATGTGTTACAGTTCTAGATTCCTTTCCGGGTTCGTGGGTCGATCATGTTTCAAGGCCACGCTCCAATACTCCATAGACTTCCGGAAAGTTGCGGCATAAGAAAATTCCCAAATTACGACCCTGCCACGCGAGAAGAAGGCGCAAAAAGTACGGTATCGGAATGGCTGCAAGGATTGTTTTGTTTATTCTCCGTCGCCCCTCTTCCCCCCTACTCTCCCCCCGTCATTGGAGAATGTGTGGGGTGGAAGTCGTGTTAGTGGGTTTCAATGAAATTCCCCGCCCCGTCGGAGCTCAGATTCCTTGGGCCCCCAAAGCCGACTAGGAGGAGGAGGAGGAGGAGGAGGAGGAGGGGGGGGGGAAGAGGGGGGGGGAGGAGGAGGAGCAGGAGCAGGATGATGCGGAGGAGGAGGAGGGGGAGGAGGAGGAGGAGGAGGAGGGGGATGGGGAAAACAAAACCTTCCGAGGCTTCCTGTCCGCTGCGGCCGGGCGGAGTGCGCGGGCGGGGCAGCTCAGGCGTTCAGTCGGTCGACGGCGAACTTCATCAACTTCCTGTGGGCCACGTAGGCCGAAAAACCGTTCTTGGCCATGTGCGTGTATCGGTTCCAGAACTTCAAGTGGAAGTCGCAGGCCAGCACGAGCCTCTTGACAATCATCAGGGGGGAGTTCCCGTGCGGAACAAGCTCGCATTCGTCGCCAATCCATGTCCGATGGGCCGGTGATGGAGATGAGCACGCGGAAAATCCTTATGATGGAGTAGGCGCGGGCACTGAAGGTACTGGGCCTTGGCGTCGGGTTGGTGATGGCACCGTAGAAGGGACTCCGACCGTTCTGGCCGAACATGCATTCTGCGGGGCGTGTGCCATCCTCCAGCTAGCGTTCCACGTGTCACCGCCAGGCTGGTGCAGCTTCGCGAATAAGATCTGAAAGCTTCTCCCAATGCCGCTGAAGTTCCTGGCGAGGAATGCGCACCTGGGGCCATTCCTCGAGGTGCTGAGCAATAGTGACAACGAAAGAACTGGGGCCCACCCCTCATGGAGGTTCTTGATGTAGATGCGCTGCGGCTTGGGGCGGCGACCTCCTGCCTCTGCTGCTTTGGCCGCCGCCAGCGCGGCATCGCCGGCAGCCTGAAGATCGTGGCTGCGCCAAGGAGGAGCTTGAAGATGGCTGGCGTGCGAGATCTGGTGGTATCGTCGAACAGCGGCCGTCTGGCTCTTCCGGCAGGTCGGGGTCCGCCGTTTGAATGAGAATTCGACCAGGTTACACTCTTGAGCAGCAAAGTCCTCGAGCTTGTGGAACACGGGGAACCATCGAGATACTGTGGGCGTCGCCACTCTCCAGAGAGCGCCGACGGCATAAGTGACCAGCGACCTCGGGGCCGCGCAGGGCATCTACCCACTGGTGGACAGACTCTCCTGCTTCCTAAGAGTGCTGGGTTGCGTGCGCAAGATCCTGTGCGCGGTGTGGAGTTCTTCAGTGATGATGCTCCTGGGGGCCTCGAAGAACTGGGCGAGGTGCCCCGGGGCGGTGGTCGCTCAGGCTTGTTGCGAGCGGATATTGGCTTCGATCGGTGACGTGGCGCTCCCGATCGCAACGACTCCTCTCCGCCATCTTGCACCCGCTGCAGACCGCTGCTCTTCCGTCTGGGCATCGGGGCCGACGAGCGCTCCACGGTGCTTGCCCTTCCCCTCAATGACGAAGCCGGTCCAAGACGGCACCTCTGTGCGGGGGAAGTCGCTCGCGAACTTGCGAGCCGTAGGGTCGGTGCCCGCCCTGAACGGAATGGGCGCGCGCATCTGGATCTTGAGCTTGAGGTGGCCGCGCCTCTCCGCGGGACTGGCGACCTCGGCCGCGTCAGGGACTAACGCGAGGTGAAGAGGAATGGCTGCGAGATCGTCGGCGCCCCCCCCCGGCGTGTTCATGCTCGGGGTCTGGTGCCGCGTCTGCCGCAGCTAGGGTGATCGCGTCCATGGCGATGGCCCATGTCGCCCCCGCAAGTGGGCAGCTCTGCGCAAACCTCGCTTCGCTCGGGCATGCAAAGAAGAGCTGGCCATCAAACGTGGCGCGGCTGATAGTGTCCTGGCACGGCGCAGCGACCGCATTGAGAACCCCCAGCGGCAGCCCAAAGCGTTGAATAATGTAGAGTTGCCACTGCCGCCCCAGACTAGAAGACGCCGCTGAGACGTCAAAGAGGAGAAAGGACGGCTTGCTGAGCGCGGCTGGAGTCCAACGATCCTGGCCTCCGCATCCAGACGAAAACTGTTGCTGCTAAAACTCCTGCCAGGGATGGCCCCCCCCGAATGGGTGAGCACGTTGCTCGGCCTGCTCGCGGATGGCGCGCTTCGCGGGAGCTGCGGGGATCTGGGAGTTCGTGTCCTTGCGAATAGTGGGGCGAAGGTTGCCCGCTTCCCGCGTGCATGAATGCGCGTCTGCTTCCTCTTCCTTCCGGGGTGAAGGAGAATGTGAAGAAATTGAAGCCGTCGGGTTGCCTAGCCCTTCTCGCAACGGTGCCTTGTGAGCTCTTCGAGCACCTCGATGGCCCCGGGGGTGGCCGCCCGCGCCGTGCAGGGCGGCGAGTCAGGCCCCGGCGCTGATGCTCGCGCGCGGAGGGCGGCCTGGCGAAGTGCGTGAGCGGTCTGAATCGAGATGCCCCGCGGCGTGATGTTGGGCGGGACGTGCTGGTCCATGCATCCCTCCATCTCCTGCTGGTGGACGTGCTTGCTCGCGAAGATAAGTAACCAATGATTCTGAAGGGCCTGCAGCTTGTCGGCCGTGGTGGCGACGACCGCGGCGATGCCTCGCGCGGTGACAGGGCGGCGAATTCCGACCGGCGTTGAATGAGGCCCAGCGGTGAGGGCGCGGGCGAATGAGGCCCAGGCGCGACTCCAGCGTTGAAGACGCCCAGCATGCTTATGCTGTTAATCTGCTTTCAATCGACGTCCTTGGGTCGTGGTGCGTTGGGCCGCAGACGTGGCCATCGCTTGTCTCTGGCGAATTTGGTGGTGGTGTGCGCAGCGGGACACACCACCAAACTTCATCTCATCTGCTAGAGAAGCGTGGCCGCCCAACGAGATTGTCGAGGTTTCCCGCCCGATTTCCGTCGTCGCGATGTGGTTGGCAGCAAATGCGTCATCTTGTCTCTATGCAACACGAGATACTGAACGGTAAATGAGAAGACGTGCTTGCACTGCCGTCCGGCCTCCAGCGCCACCAGGGAGCCTCACCAAGGAGTTGTGTGTCAAGCGGGCAGCGCTGGCCACGAGTAGCTTGTGCGCCCGCCATTGAGCGGGGACAGGAAAATGGTCCAGCTGCGATTGCGAGAGAACGAGCTTGAACTGCTTCGCGGGCAGGGGGAGCTTGAAGATGCAGTCAGAGATGGTCTGGTTAGTCTCCTAATTCTCCTCTGCTAACTGGATCAATGCGGTCAAGATGCCGTGGCCGCTCAGTCTTTGATCACTCAACACAACTGCGTCGCTGGGTACGGACATCGAAAAATTCGGGTACGTATCCGGTGGGGGGCGGCAAGAAGCCCGGTACATTGTTGCTGCCTTGCTGCCTTTTCTGTACATCTGTCATTTCGGGTAGGTTCATTGCTGTTGAGCTCAGCCATCGTGGAGAACAGACGACGCCAAAAGGACTTATGATGCTGATCTCCACCAATCGACCGCATGAGGATGGGCTTGGGCTCGGCGAAGGAAGCCGACGGCTCATCGTGAATGTTGACGTCGCCGAGCGCGACGAAGATGGAGTCGGTCAGTGAACGGTTGGCCGGTTCGGATATCTGGTCCAGACTTGTCGTGCTTGTGCTCGCTGTGCTGAGGTGAGCTCGAAGTTGTGCACGTTGAGGAAGGCGGCAACGCACTTGCCGTCTTCGCTGAAGATTTTCGACGAACTGGACACAGCCACGGGCCACTTCATGATTGCGAAGTAGACGCAAAGACGAAGCATTCATGTGGTTGGGGCGTGTCGGCTCCCAATACCGGTGGGGGCGGGGGCTGGCTCTCCGGCGCCCCAGCGTTATAATTCCGGGGCGGAGGCTGACTCTCCTGCGCCCGAGGGCCCAGCACCGAGGGGTGAGGCTGGATCAGCTGTCCGCTCCAACCCCTTTTTCCAAGTGAGAGCCGAACGGTCTCGTCAGAAGGTAGCCTTCGCTCTGGGCGAATATGATGTAGTTGGGCCCGACGTCGCGGATGATCTCCTTCATCTTCTGCAGGGAATGGAGGGAGCCGTACGGGTGGAGAGAGATCGATTGGCCTCCACCTTCGGAAATGCTCATACATGGCTCGACGCCGAGAGAATTCGCGGTCTTGTGATTCTTGAAGAGACACTGAATGGCTGCGATGAGCCTGGAACGTTGGGGAGCACCAGTCGGCAAGGCCTCATGGCAGATGTCTTAGCCGAGCTGCTGCAACGTCGGTGGGTCTGTGTAGCCGTCGGTACCTGTGAAAAGATGGTCGACGGCGGTGGCGTGCAGCTGTGTCATAATGAAAGGGACGCACCATGCGAGCGAATGCTGGAAAAGGAGGATAGGATAGGATAGGACTCGGCCTTGCGCGTGTGCTGGGGTGACGCAGCTCTACACATGGTGTGATACGCGTGCAGAACTACAACCTCAAACGATCGCATATCTACAATGCGAGGTTACGGGTTACGCGCGCCGTGCAGCGCTCGACACGTGTGTATCGGGGCTGTGCGCAATATTCAGTGTCACACGCGGGCTGGGGGGGACACCCCTCTGGCCCCGAAGGGGCCGAAACCTCGCGGCACGGTGTGTGCCAGGCAGGCTCCCGAGGCATCCACCCAGCCCTGAAAAAAGAGGAAATGAATATAGATGGAGGTCTGATCGGCGACCCAGCCGAGAGGGCCCTCCCCAACACCTGACACTCGGGCCCCGCAGGCATCCGATTGGCAAGCGTCGGAGTGGGCCCTTCGGAGGGTTCGGATCCGCAAGAGGAAAAGACCGACTGTAGACAGCAAAGCGAACACTCCCGCCTTGTCGAACGTGGCGGGCGGGGGCCTCATGGTTAGATGTCGAAGGGCTGAACGAACCAGAACACAGCCATTGCCATGCCCATCGCGGCGAGGGGGGACCAGAGCAAGAGGTTACGATCTGGGTTCCCGATCTGGCCGACAGTGGAGGTCAGCTGGACGTGGTCAACGTCCGAGAACAGCCAATCTGTGAATATCAATGTAAAGACAACCATCCCAATCAAGGTAGTGTGGAGTTTTCCCTGCGTCCAGCGTCATGGCGACTGATGAACCTGAGGAAGCTCAGGATTTATTTCGAGGCGTGTGTCCCGCAACATGGCGACGACTGAACCTAGGCAGCGCCTAGGATTTTGCCAGCTCCTTTGCCGCAATACGTGCTTGCAAAGCCGCCAGTCGCATCTCCCACGTCTCTGAGGTCACGCCGTCGACTTCTTGCCTCTGCCCTTGCCGCCCAGCTTGTGCTTGTCCAGCATCTTCTGTGCGAGGTTCTCGAGATGACCCTGCGGCGCCGTCCCCTGCTTGAGTGTTCCGCCCATGCCCCTGAGCAGCACCACCGTCGCGTTCTCTATCATCAACTTTGAGTAGGTTGTGGGCTCGCCGCTGTCGCTTTGCAGGTTGACCCCGTCCACTATGGCGAACTGAAGGCGTGTCATGTCCTCGTTGTAGCACTTCTTGCAGCGGTAGTGTCGGATCGACAATCCGAGCTCCTGCATCTGTCCTTTCTGTGCGAACTTGCTGTAGAACAACTGTGCCACTTCCAGCGCTTCCCCCCCGATCTTGGTGCTCGATTCGGCTTCCACTAGACACTTGAACCCTGCGCGCGCTATGTGTAAATGAAGTGGTCCAAGCTTGTCCTTCACCGAGGGTAGCCCAGCCGCCTCGGCGTAGAGCTTTCCAGCGGCCCTGGAAGCCACAATAATCGGCGAGAGCGACGGGGGGATCGCACTTACCCAGACCACTGCCGCCGCGTCGCGTAGCAGCTGGGAGTGCATGCAGAAACCTTTTAGGAGGAGGGAGAGCGCCGCTGCAACGTCTTTTCCTCGAAGAGCACTTTCGACCTGGTTCAGTGTGTCCTCTGCGTCGTCCGCTGCCTCTGCCAGCTTGCGCCCCTTGGACCTTGCTCCCCCTTCTTCGCCACCAGGGGATTCCTTCCGTTTGCCGAGTTCGATCAGCGCACCGAGATCCATCAGGTCCACGTTCTCCTCCGAGCCTCGAGCCATCTTGCTGTCGACGGTGTCTAACTTCAGGCTGAGGTAGTGAGCAATGAGTTCGAATGTGTCCTTGAAGGTCGAAGAGACTTTGAGCCCAATGCCTACATACTGGGCACTGTAGTTCGCTGGGGATCTGTAAGTCTTGCGCCAAGAAAGAGCTCCTCCCGCGGCAGCAGATGTTTCGTTTGAGCGACCTCATGACGTGCCTCTCCGCGTTCTCTTTCGTGCTAAGGACCTGTAAACATCTGAAACATTGGTTAGTCACTGTCAGGAGGGCAGCTTCATTTCGAACGCGGTGGGCGCGGCCCGCATGAAGGAGGAGCGCCTTCATGGTGCTGAACTTTTCGTTACACTTGGCGCCCGTGGTGAGCGCCATGTTGCAGACGAACTGGCCCTAGGGGGCCGTCTCCTCCTCAACCTCGGGGACCTCTGGAGCCTCGGGGTGGTGTTCAGGAGGGGCAAGCTGTTTTGAGTAGGCCGCCGCTCGTAGGACCGTGAAGTCCAGGTAGGCCCAGTCCCTAAACTCGTCGATGTAAAGCAACTTCAGCAAGGGGTAACCCGAGGGGACTAGCATGAAGAAATCCTCGCAATGCTCGTGGGCGAAACTCAAGTCCTCCAGAATCTGCTGGGCCCAGGGGTTGGCTTTCGGGTTGAGGTTCCAATCGGGGTCGATTGTGTCGAAGCCTCCCATGGTCCCCAGGATGCACGCTCGAACCTGACGATGGGCCTCGGGAAAACGGGCCCAGTTCTGAAGCCAACCCAGACGACGCACCCGGAGCTCGGCGGAGGTCGGCAGGATCTTCCAATACTCCCAGACATTTTTTGATGGCCAGCGTCGGATTGCCCCGTCTTCGCCCTTAGTGGTTCCCTGCAGGCCCAGTCCCCTACGCATCGCTAGTAGCAGCACCCTGTCCGCCTGCTCGCAGAATGGGGCATCAGGAACACGTGCCTCCATGCCAGAGAGAAGGGCCGCCTGGACGAAGGCGATGATCGCCATCCGCTTGATGGCTCGGGCAGCGGGTCTGACCAGGAAGCACGAGATGAGCCCCAGGCCTTTTTTCCCCGCCAGGACCCGCTTCGATTTTTCCACGGCCAAGGACCCTGTCGTAGTGAGCCAGCCTCCCAGAACACGAATGTGACGCCCTCGGATGCCCGACGTTTTCAAGACTCCGCTATGCCAGAGACGGCGTTGTCCAGTGCAGCCACGACCGAAAATCCTAGCGAGCGTGACCCTCTTGTCGGGGTTCAGAGAAATGCCGATCTCCAACAGGGCCTCACGGAGGTGAAAGCTGCTCGACTCCGCCAGCGCCGCTAGGGGCGCCGCCTCGCTACCGTTGGCGTGTGGTTCTGGTCCCCATCCTGGTATTGCAATCCTCGTGATGTCATCGGCGAAAATCGTCAAGCCTACGTCACTAACCGTACCGTCGATCTCGATCGCTTCGGCGTATTGTCTCGACGTCGTCCTCGAACGGTGATCATGATATCGAGCGAGACCTGCCTCGTAGAAGTACGGGAACGCTCTAGCAGGGTTCGGGTGTCCCATCATCTCCCCCGTGGACGGACGCAGCGTAATCGGTCCCGATGGCGATTCAATCTG